GCAGGAGACTCGCTTGAGCCCAGGAGTTGGAGGTTGTTGTGGGCTCCAGGGGACAGCTTGAGGCTCTGTCTAAAAAAAAAAAAAAAAATAGAAAAAACTAGCCAGAGGTAGTGGTGATGCCATTACAGCTACTGGGGAGGCTGAGGCATGAGGTTTGCCCAAACCCAGGAGTTTGAGGTTCCTGTGAGCTATGATGACATCATGGAACCTTACCTAAGGCAACAGAATAAGTCTTTTATCTCAAACGACAAAGGAATATGAAGATTCTTGGGAAAAGATTTGGAAATAGTCACATCAAGGGAATGGAAGTAGGGGCTAGGGATAGGTGGGGTAAGGAACTACTATATTTGTAATAAATTCGCAAGTAAGTAAAAATCCAAGATGTTGGTCGTAGGAATTTGATTAGAAAACAAAGTGATTACTATCTGAGGTGGGCGGATGGCCTGAGTTCACCAGCTCCAGACCAGCCTGAGCTAGAGTAAGACCCCATCTCTAAAAATATTCAGGCGTTGTGGTAGGCAGCTGTAGTCCCAGCCACTCAGGAAGTTGAGGCAAAAGAATAGCTTGAGCCCAAGAATTTGATGTTGCTGTCAGCCATAATGCCAGGGCACTCTATCTACCTGGGGCAAAAAAGGGAGACTCTGTCTCAAAAGAAAACATAAGAGGGTGGCACCTGTGGCTCAAAGGAGTAGGGTGCCAGCACCATATGCCAGAGGTGGCAGGTTCAAACTCAGCCCCAGCCAAAAACTAAAAAAAGAAAAAAGAAAACAAAGTGGACAAAGATTTTTGTCTCAGGAAGTTTATATTCTGAATTAAATATTTAGGCTGAGTGCAGTGGCTCAATGCCTGTAAGCCTGAGCTCACTGGTTCAAGACCTGCTTGAGGCAGAGCCTTGTCTCTAAAAATGTTGGGTGTTGGGGGGGTGCCTAGAGTCCCAGCTACTTGGGAGGCTGAGACCAGAGAATGGCTTGAGCCCAAGAATTTGAGGTTCCTGTGAGCTATGACCCCATAGCGCTTTACCAAGGGCAACAAAGTGAGACTATCTCAAAAAGAAAAAAAAAATTAAAAATCTTCCACATGTGTAATAACTTAAAAATAGTAAGCCCCAGCCTGAGCAAAAGTGAGACCCAGTATCTACTAAAAATGAAAAACTCAGGCAGGAGGACTGTCTGAGCCTAGGAGTTTGAGGTTGCTGTGAGCTATGACACCACGACACTCTACCAAGGGTGACAGGGTGAGACTTCATCTCCAAAAAAAAAAAAAGAAAAAGGCTCAACGCCTGTGGCTCAAATGGCTAAGGTGCCAGCCACATACACCTAAGGTGGCGGGTTTGAATCTAGCCTGGGCCTGCCAAACAACAATGACAGCTGCAACCAAAAAAATAGCCGGGTGTTGTGGCAGGCGACTGTGGTCCCAGCTACTTGGGAGGCTGAGGCAGGAGACTCGCTTGAGCCCAGGAGTTAGAGGTTGCT